CTATATATATTCTATATATATTTTTTAAATGTTAATTTTTTTTTTAAATACCCAGGATAAAGATATACCAACTCCAGTATGGCTGTGTTTTTTCATAAGCATCTACCAAAGTCCCATACATAACCAAAGCCTCATCTAAAAGTTAGTCTTCCAGGTATGCTACTTTGGTCGCCCTCTCATTTTCCCTTCCCTACTTTTTAAAGCACCTTTCCTCGTGTCCCACTCCCTGGCTGTGCTACATTTAAACCTCAGGCTGTACTGCCTTTACGGTGAAAGCGCTGAAATCCAGTCCCCTCCAATTAATAGGCCAAGTTGCATGGCCGCTGATGTACAAGCAGCTGGCGACATTTTTCGCCTCTTGCAGTGTTCCTTCAGTACAGTACTGCAATCTCCAGGTCAGGCGTAATTGAATTCTGTCAAATACCCGACACAAACTACTTTAGACCTGGATGTCATTTCATGGCCGTGTGCAGGGGTGCTTTTCCATACACAAGCTGCACAGACGCTACCATGGCCTAAGTGCAAAACAGGGTGCACAGTGGTCTCAGCTGCATGGTGTTCAACAAAAAGCAGTCTGAATTTTAGAGATACAGCTTATCACACACCCTAGTGGTTTTCTCCATGGTTTTATCCTCAAGTAGCACCAACCATTTAAAATTTTCACCTTTAATATATATACACATACACCTTTTAATATTTTATATATACATACACACACCCACACATATGTGGCATCAGTACGTTCACCACAGGAGAAACTTATTTACAATTAGTTGGAAAAATTAAATTGTATCAAGTTACAGTATACCAAAACAAAACTGGCATTTGTGCTTTCTGTTTCTACAGGAGTAATTTTTGTCATTTCAAAAAAAGTTTATATTTTTATTTGCATCAAGACATGTCACATGACGAAGAAAGTTAGAAACAGCTAGGATTGAGAATTACAGAGCATTGGCTTTCCTCACATGCCCCACTAAGTCTACAGAATAGCTGCTTTCTATAAAAATTCTCCATTCAAGCTTGCTTGAGGATCTTCTTAATAAATAATAACACACAGCAGAAGAACCATGCATCCTGTCTTGCACTGTGCACATTCATGAGATAAAAGTTTCTGCCTTCACTGAACAACACGTTAATGAAACAGCACTTAAACTTCACTTTTTACTCAGGACCTCAAAGTGCTTTTAAAAAGAAGGAAATACCCTCATTCTACACAGTAGTTAAGAGGCACAAGGAATAAGGCTTGAATTACTGTCTTCAGACACTGACCAGGCTGTGGAAACCAAGGGCTTAAACTCCAGATTCTCCCCAATCTGCTTCCTGGGTTGGAGGATCCCATTATCTCAGGTAATCTCTACTCTTGGATGTAGACGCTTGTTTATATCTGTAACATCAACCAAAACAATAGCAGCTCCACAGCCCAAACAGCCCAGCTATACTTCAGTAAAGGTACTTTTCTCTTGAAAGCATGAAATAGTTTCATAAGAAACCTGTTTAGTTAAAAACAGAGATAAGTTTAACCTTCATAGCGATTTCGTAAATACAGGTAGTCTGATACAGCCGGCTCTAAGTTCCTCTTTGACCGGGCTAACAAGTCTTTTCTGGCCAACTGTAATTTCAGCACTGGGCCACATAGAAGTGACCACCTGGCTCATCTGTTTACAGTTCAGTAACCACTGGAGACCAAAAAAGTATTGCTAAGATATACAATATTAAATAACTCATTAAAAACTAATGGTGACTTTTTTTGTTTGTTTTTAAAAAAATACAAAGCCGGTCAGGCTGGGTGCTGAAGGAAGACTCCTGCCATCCACTTCAGGAACTAAAATATACAGCATGTGTACTGTTACTTTGCAAGCATTTTAATTATTTTAGGAGTAAGAGATTTTCTGTGTCCTAATAGGAAGTCATAGCATTCACATTTAATTCAGGAAACATTCACCTCTTTCAGACCACAAACTACTCTTCCTTTAGCTATTATCTATGTGCACATTTGCGATGCTTTTCCACAGGTTTCTTGTAAATGGAGGTTTCTTCTAGTCCTCCGTTTTGACAAACTACACTTTCAGAGATGGCTGCAGGATCCCTTTTTCGACAAGGTGAGATTTCAGGGTTTTATACACGCTTAGTTGTTGCTCAGGCTGAAGTATCAACAGCTGTTTCAGTAATTTGCTGGGATTTGGACCCCTGCCAATGAAAAAATAAATTTTTTTTTGTGAGCAGCAGCTCTAAAGAAACTTTTCAACAGGTTTCCATTTTCCTCTTGCTGCACAAACAATGCCTTCCCTTTTTTGGGGACACCAAGTTATGGATTTGTCCCAGTCTATCTCCTCAGGATGCATGGGCGAGCATTACTGGTAAAGCATACTCCTTAGCTCAATCTGAATAGATACTAAAAAGCATTTCTTGTATTTGCTGTCAAATGGGGATATTAAGAAGGTTCATGACAAATAAGATTCACTGATTCATCCTTAATCACTGTAATCAACATTTTTCATCAACAGATCTTTTTTAGTTTAGTATCTGTTGCCAGATAAGCTGTGTACTATTGAACTAAATGGAAAGTTGGCCAAGACAGCAAAGAAAACTGCAAATTAAATCAAGCTTTTCTAAATAACAGCCTCATTTTTAGCTAGTCATTTATTTGCAGTCTACTTCTAAGATGGAACGAATACGAGGCAAAGAATCGTATAATTAATAATTATTTAGCCATATGTGTTTACAAAACTAAGGGCATGTTATCAGTTTGGACACCTACAGCCCCTTGATCCCCCCACCCCAGGAGCTATAATGACTGACAGTGAAAGAATTGTCATTCCCATGATTTCTTCTTGAAAGCTGGCATGGTGCAGGGAAGATAAGCAGCATTTTTTAAGAAGTTGTCTCCTCTCTTTAACCATAGTGTTTTCATCTTAAACAGAAAAACCCAAGTCAAACAACAGAAATACTGAAACTTACAGGAAGAACTGCGGCCTCCCAACCTACAGGCTCTTCAGGAACCACACAGGGAAAGCAAACGCTGCAGCAACCCTCCTGCCCAAAACCCCATCCTCATACCTCCCTGTAATCAGTAAATTCTCGTAAAACTCCTAAGAGGCTGCTACACAAAACTTTATGGTATTTAGGGTACACAGGTTACCTGTAACAGCAGTCATAGAAACATTAAGGCATAGCTTGAACCTGACACAAATCCTAGGCAGTGACATATGTTTTCTTAATAGTTCTGTATTTGAAATCATTGCATAAATCAGATTTAGACACCTGCAATCTCCATTATGCTAACAGTGCAGAACATAACTTGTATGAAGTAACTATGGTACAGCTCCTATGCAAGCTCAAGTAGTTAATATTGTAAAAAGCCCATACCTTATGAAACTGGTGATATAGACATGAACAAAAGTGGCCATCAAGTACTGACAATCAAAGCGATCCATTATCCCACCATGCCCAGGGATTGTGTTTGCAAAATCCTTTTGGGTGTGAAGGACGGGAAGGGTAAAAAAAAAACAAAAACAAAAACAAACAAACATGGTCAGTGATTCCAATGAAACACACTAACGATGTATCACTTGACGGCAGCACATGAAGGCTGTAATTAAGCTACAGTTTCACTGCACTCAGCCAAAAGTTAGCAAGAGCCTCCTTTGCTAAAGGAGTTTTTAACTGCAAAGGTGAGTCAAGGGGTGACAAGAAAAAGAAGAGAGGAAGCAACTTGTCCACTGTATCACACAAGAGGACAGTGGTAGGTCAGGTGCTGGTTTGCCAGTACTGAGTACACTTGCGTGCCTATATATATGTACACTTCCTTTTGTAGCAAGCCTCTTAAACAAATGGCTGTCATTTCTTGCCTCTGCAGAATCTAATTCTCCTCTTTAATATTTTTATTGCTTTATCCTCTACTGGTAGCTGCTGCTGAAGCACTTGTTACCAGGGAATATATATTTGCTCTAAGAGAAGCAGTAACCTGAGGACTCCTTCCACTGTCTAACACTGGCTTTGCCAGTCATACTGCCCATTCACCTGCCCTTTTTTTGCACTGGGTTCTTGGTAACCATAGTTAAAAACCGTAATATGTGCATACAGTATAAATATATTTAACAGAATCAAAAAACCCTGCAGTGAAAAAATTATCACTACTTTAAAAAAAAATTCTGATGCAAACAAAGCTCAGTACACTACCTTTGTGTTACCCGATCTTGTCTGTAGAACAGCTTTATCAGTCAAACTACCCTCATGTATCCTTTTTGTCATCCATACTTACTTGTGTATTCGCTGGGTGAAAACCCTGACCTTACTCACATGGGGTGACTGCCAACAAGTTAAACCTGTCCGGTGCCAGTGCCACTCCAGCCCTCCAGCACTGGGCAGTCTAACCCAACCTACGCGCTGCCTTCACTAACAATTCCACAATACCCTTGTCTTCCTGACGGTCCTTTGGTCACCACCTTGGGGCCCAGAAGTATTAAAAAAAAAAACCACCAAACCAAACCCCCACTACTTTTTAATGTTCTATAAGAGTAAGTGCTGCTTTTCAGAAGCATTCTTTTCTGCCAAAAGCCCTTCTTCACACAAACAGTCTTTCGCTACCTGGACATACAGGTATGACAGCGCATGAGGCTGTAGCTAGCAAAGTGCCGGACAAGCTGCTCGGACCGGCATAAGGAAGAGGGGTAGGTACAAGCACATGTATGGGAGTTCAGCACAGAGAGGTTTATATGCTTCTGTGCAAAGCACATGCCAAAACTGGTGGACATAGGGAACAACAGGAACTACAACAAGCAACAGGATAAGAGTTACAGCAGTCCTACCAAGTCATAAAGAAGGCTGGGAGAAAATTTGCAGCTGCCCTCTTCCCATACTCCTGCTGCCACTTAATACCAGCCAGGGGCAACACTGCCGCAAGCAACAGTGCACACCTTGCAGTAAACAGAGGTTAGCACATCACATCATTTGCCAATACACGCTCTTGTTACAAGGCAGCACTCTATTGGCAAAGGCAGCCAAACATCTCATGCTTTGGTGAACCTGACATGTCAGCATCTGCATATGACACAAATACTACTGGTAAAACACAGCCAGCCACAATCTGAAGGGTAAACTACTGTTGGTGCTTCTTAGGCATCTACAGATTGTCTTTCATGTCAAGTATAATATCTCTCATCTTGCTTGTCTAAACCACTTCTGCAACATGACTTGGAAGAGTAATCAACCAAAATACAAAACCAAATCATTCTTAGATTTCCAACACTAAAGTCACATGTTGATTACATAAAGTTTTAAGAATAACACATACATATATCTGATAAAACTAAGTACTGCTGCTGATGCTAAAAAACAGCTCAAACATCATCCCACCTTAGTAGAAACACTAGGTACTACAATGAACAATTAAAAAAAAAAAAAAACCCAACCACCAAACCCAATCCACCAATTTATCTAATGCAAAGAGAAGACCGAAACAAAACCAGCTTAACAGGAGTCATTACACACCTTGATTTTGAAAGCTCTTTTAAATCCACTGGCGAAGAATCCTCCAAATGGCCCAATTAATGAGGCAAATGTTGACAGTGCAATGCTGTGCATCTGAAATGGGTACATATTCACAGTTTCCTACAAGAAAAATAATTAGCACTGTATTTCAATATGTTTGATTGTAGGCATCTTAAGCTTAAATATTTTAAAATGGGGCTGTTACAGAGCAAATTTCCACAAAGCTCCAGTTTTCCTGACACAAAGTAATACTGTAAAGAAAGGAAAGGTAGACACGCTGCTGAAAGGTCTGGTCATGTGAACAGGATGAAGTATTCGGGGTTGCTAGGGCAGTTAACTTTAACAAATGATGTGGTTTTCAGCCAATCCCTTAGTTAATCACAAGGAATATAACTACTAATTCCATAACGTACAATGAGACTCTCTAGTCTTTCCTGGCTCTGCTTTTCCAGCTCCATTTCCTGTAAACAAAGGAGCTTTCCACAAATTCCTAGTATTGCTCTAGTAAGTGGCCCAATGCTCTCCACAAACTTGTCATCTTCATGCAATTCACTGTCACTTCTTTCAAGTGCTCTCATGAGATAGATATGAATTTTGCACCAGTCCACCATACTGTCACCTTTGTGTACATGGGGCAATAATGGGAGATAAGGTTTACCCCCATTAATACTTTCTGGTTTGCATTTAAACAGATATTGTTCCCTTCAGCCTTTTCACGGACTTGAAATTTGTTTTGATCCATTCAAGTTCTTACAGATAAGGGAGACTTCATTGGCAACAGGTACCTGTTTTCCTTCCTGACACAGATTAGAAAAAAAAGGCATTTTCGTGGTTGGTTGGGGTGTTTTGGGTTTACTGGGGTTTTTTGATTGGGTTTTTTTTGTTTGTTTGGGTTTTCTGGGTTTGGGTTTTTTTTGTTGTTGTTGTTTTTGGGGTTTTTTTGGTAACTTAGCATTGAGCACTTTCAATTCAATGGTACAAGCTCCAGCCTTTGAGGGAACACTATGCTGGCCTCACCCCTGAGAGCAGAGCACACCTTACCTGGCAAGTCTTGATAAACACCATCTGTAGGTGAAAAATCCTGTACCTTGTGTTTCTGATTTGCATCACAGCTGGCCAACACCAATTTGACTTTCTATGAAGAGTGCTAAAACTAATTCTCTCCTCAAAAGGCTTGTTAGAGCCTGGCAAAAGTACTCCAGAAGTGCACATGGAACTACCATCTCTTTTTAGGGTTAACTGATAGCTCTCTATTAGACTGCCACAGAGCTGGGCTTTCCCATCTCCATGCCCTTTACCAAAATACACAATATAGCTGGACACAGTAAGATTTCTCTCTGCTCAGTCCACATTATGTTTTTATGCAGAATTTTAAATTTGCAATCAACCCCACAGTCCCTGAAGCAACAGTATGTTCATCTGGTATGAAAATATCCGAGCTCCTTCTAGATGTGATCTTACTTTTCTAAGTACCAGCTGTAGCCATTAATTACTTTTAGTCTTAGGTTTGGTTGCTTCAGTTTCCAGTTTGTGCTTTCTTCTTGTAACCACATCAACTTCTGTCCTTAAGTGTTACACCCATGTAACCACAGGTGAAGCCCACAGCCTTCCCTAGTGCTGTGCACTCACTCTCTGTGCTGAGCCACTGCACAAGCGAGGGGAACACTGCAGAACCCACTTGCTCTGCGTTTATCCCAGTCACTTCCTCTTTGCCCTAAAGGAAAGATAATGACAGGCTGCTTTGTTTCTGTTTGGCATTCTCTTCCTGTTGGAGGGCCTCTGGAGTCTGTGACTTCAGAAGCACTGCTTCGTATACTAGGATAATTGACGACCTATTTCCTGACAGGTAAAGGTACAACAGCTCACTTAAAAGAGTTTGCAGGCTGGGTGTGAGGAAAAGGGTCGGTGACTACAGTACATGGAACTACTACTGGTACTGCTTTTTCACTCAGCACGAGAGTAATGGCACTAACGCACAAGATGCTATGTGGTGAAAAAAGTACAAGTCCAATCCTAACAGCAGTTACACACCAGCTGAAAATGGAATGAAGTTCTACAAGATTACTTAAACTTGCTACTAATTCAGGCCATAAAGAGCTTTTGTCCACTTTCAACAAAAATTTAAAGGTTACTCTTCAAAAATAGGTTTGTCTGCAAAATGCTTAAGTGACATCCATTTCCAGCACAAAGAGAATATAGGCCACAAGAACACAGGCGGGTTTCCTCAGGTGACTCCAGCATTTCAATTCTGCCTGGGTGACCACATCCCCCATCTGAGCAATGGAGAGGCTCATGGTATCGATTCAGTTCTTACCCTTCAAGCCTGACCAGCATTCATATACCTTTCTAAAAAGGTTTAGAAAAAACATTCAACCTGGGAAGTATGGTTTCAATTTTAACCAAAGCCTTGGTTTTTTCCTTACCCATCCCAACACAGCCTGAAGCAATGGTGGCACAGAATACTTCTTCATCTGAAAGAGCTCTGAAGGTTCACACTCTGTCACAAATCTGTTGGTTTCACTGTTATATTCCACAGGGCAGACAAAGTACTGATGTTGAGCCAAAAAATAGGAAAACTGAAAAGCAAAACATGGACTCCTGAAATAGGCATTTGTTGTTATGGTAAAAAAAAAAAAAAAAAAAAAAAAATCACACTGTAATGGATGGCTCTGTCATTGCAAGCTGAGGATAATGAAAATCTTTTTAATAACAAAGAGACCCAGAATGAAGTAAAATCGGCCTGTTAAGTTGGAGAATGTCTCAACAAGGCAGACAAATGTGGACATTCAATGTGCTTAGTGATGATTTCCCAACTTGTTTTCCTTTTTGTTTCTCTCAGATTCGTATCTACTGGATGTTTCTGGATTATAATATCCCAGAACGTTAGCCACTCATCATTTCTTTGCAGTTCACTTCTCCATTAAGACTTGAACTATCGCTTCTACCAAGTTTGGGAGTTATGAGTTCTGCTGACCTTGGTGATAAATTACTTATCAGAATAGTTACTGTATGCTGTTGTTATCTTCTATGCATATCATCAGTGTAAACTACTTCTCAGGAGAAATGTCATTATAAAGTACGTAATAAAAAAGTACTAATTTACAAAATGTAAATAATACTATCAATAAACTTGAATTTTAAAATAGGGATGCAACTAATAGATAAAACAATTCCAGATATAGTAACAGTAATGGCAAAAACGGTAGATACAACCTGTTCCTGTTCAGGAGAGGTGCAAGCCTTGCCTAGCCTTTCCAGCTAGTTACAAATTGGCAGAATTCTCTAACCAAAAAAAAAAAAACCCTAACTCTTAGGCTTTCAGCAGTTTGAGATGACCAAATTTGTCAGTAATTTTACTTTGTAAAACCAGGAAGTTGAAGACTGAACCTATACAAGGAAAGTCCTGTCGTACTTACAATAAATCCAAATACAACCGTGGAAAAGAAGCCTCCAATGAACCCTTCCCAGGTCTTCTTGGGAGACAGCTAGGCACAAAACAGGTAGCGTTAGCCTCATCAGTTGCATCACTGAACCCTTTTTTACTCTATTTCTAGACCTTGTTTGTGAAAATTAAGCTCCTACTTGGTTTTTCAAAGGTATGTGTGAAATATTGAATGTCAGCAGCTGCAGCCACTGAACATGATAGATACAGGAGTATGGCTAGGACCTGTCCCAGGCAAGGAGGGAAAGTGCCACAGTTTGGCTGGTGGCACTGGGCAGCGTGAGGGAACGGAGACCTCCCTTCCCATCTGCTGCTGCTGTCTGGAGGCTGCTGCCTGCCTCTGGCCACAGCTGACCCTGATTAAGCAGCTGAGCTCCTTCAAGCAGAAGACTTGGAAACCTACACAAGCGCACCATCGCTCTGCTTGAGGCCTCTGCTAGCAAGTGCACATTTAGATAGCAAAAGAAGCCTGGGTGTTAGACAACTACTGCTGGGGATGCTCCTCGGGAGACACTAGCTTCCTACATACAGACAGGCAAACTAATACAGCAAATAACTGCAGGCCTAGAGACCAGCGTAGCAAGCTATTTTCTTCATCAAATTCTATCACATTTTCAATTTAGAAGCAGTTTAATATCGGAACCAACTAAATACACAAAAGTTAACATGGCAACATCATGAAAATAATAATTCATGGCTTTCTGTGAGGTCTTGCATATTCTACCAGAGTAGGAAGATTACTGCTTGAGGCCTTCTCAGTGCTACGCCACCAAGACCAGATGAGGAATAGGTATATATGACCTAGCACCTTACTTCAAATTACAGTTTCTGTACAGTAAGCATGCAGTTAAACCTGCATATGAAAGCCAAAAACCAAAGCCATTATAAATGATGATGCAATAGGCTCAAACTGTATTACACTGTAATGTCAGTATTACATTTACATTAATCCCAGTTTCCACTTACAAATCTTCAGAAACAGGATAGTCGATTTGTTTTTTTAACAAAGATGTGCATCATGCAGTACAGCAGAAAGTATTTTTTCCATGAACATGTTTTTGAACAAGTATCAAAAATACTATAAATTGTAAAAGCTTGTAAGTGAGGAAGTGCCTAAGTACATACCTTAATTAACGGAGTTCTGCCAAAGAAGAATCCAAAAATGTAAGCGGTAATATCATTGCAGATAACACTTGAAATTGGAACCAGAAACCTAGAGAAAGACATCAGAAGTTTCATGGAGAAAAAGAAAAGCTGACTGAACCTAAACACGCGGCAGAAATTGAAACAGCAGCATTTCTTTCTGAGAAATTTTTCTGTAGCATTTAGAAAGAATTATGTTTCATAACATGTTCACCTAGTTCCCCCATGAGCAGCATATTTAGCTACACTGGTTTTAGTCTTCAGCCAATCAAGACCATTACAGATCTTGGTTAGTTCAAGTTAAAATATGATTTTGGTACATGAGCTTAAAATGTGAACAGGCTGGCTTTTTCCTTATCAGGCTTGAAGACTGGTACCAGTTAAGAAGAAATCAACAGATATAAACATGTTAATGTTATTGGTAACATCAAAGCAAGCAAATTCCTTGTAAAGTTTAATTATATCTAAATTAAAAAAAAAAAAGTTTTCCTTTTTTTCCTCTTGTCAGTTTGGAGCAGCCTGTGTTAGTTTTCTAAGTGTTCTTTGCATGCAGACAGCATCTGAATTTGTTACTCAAGCCTGTTAACCTCTTTTTTTCCCCTCCCTTTTCAAAGCAGGGATGTATTAATAAACTAAAAGTCAAATTTTGTGACCATCCGCCAAATTGCCTAGCACCACTGAAAATAAGAAATAGTAGGCTAGCAAGGCAACAAGGTTCAGTTTTTGGCACATGAACATGATCACTATGAAAAGAATTTGTTTATACAAACTTTGTCAAAGGCTTTGAGTTTTCTTTCTAACTATGAGCACACCTTTTCTGCAATAATCTCCCCAGTTGTACATATATCAGGCAAAGAAAAAAGGAGAACATGCAGTATTATGTCCTTAGAAGAACACAAATCATCTTCCATGTGCTACTTCCTTCTTTCTCAACTTGTAACTTACTCTGTCCCTAAAGAAGTGGGGAGGTGGGGGGTGGGACAACACACCGTCTCTTTGAGGAACGGTTTTAAGTAATCAAGTTTAACTGCATCATCAGAATGTAATATATCACTGGAAATGGGGCATTAAGATGAGCCAACAATATCAAGATTTAAACTCTTAAAATATTTTAAGTAACCTGAATTTATCTGAACAGGGAAGGTGGGAGGGAAGGCAGCCAGATTTGGGATTTCAAATTAAATGGTCCAACTTCAATAGCTCTGAGCAACCTGAAGCTCCCAAGTAATTGAAAAAGAATTCCTGGATAGTTATTCCTTCAGCAAAATGCTATGGAAACTGTTTCACCAAGCATGCAAGCAATCCTATTCCTTGCAAGTAAATGAAGTGGTTGTTCAAAACTATCATATTTGTGGCTGCCAGTCTAGGTAAAGAGGTTTCTGCTTCCTCTCCTGTATCCTTTACCTCTTTGCTCCCAATTCCTCTGACTCCCCTTCCAACTAGACATTAATGCTCCTTTAATTTGTGCTGCTTTAACTGTTCCCACGATCATTCCCTAACCAGATATATGTAAAAGAACCAACCTTTCAATGCAACAGAGTTACAAGTCAGTTTATTACTGTCCCCTTACCAGATCATGCCTTCAAAGAGATTTTGGATGACAAGATGAGATTGAGTTACAGTGATCAGCAAAGTGACATGAGTCCATGCGAACTGTTAACAATGCAACAACACAACAGTTAGTGGAAACACTGATTCGTACACCTTGATAAATACTGGTGTGTCAGCTAGAAGAGCTACTTAGTTGCTCACAGGGAAGACCAGTTCTAGTGATAATGCAAGAGATGTGTGTATACAGTATATCACAAGTTAGCTGGCTTTCTGAAGCAAGTACTGGAACTTTAACAGGTTTCCCCACCACTTACCTCCACCCAGAATTTTTTAACGTGCAGTTTAACATCTGACTTAATAAGACATACACCTTCAGCATGAAAGCAAAGAAATGTAAGCAATGTGATATTCTGTATATACATATAACAGGCATGTTAGAACTGTAACAATAAAATGGCAATGAACTACTCATGAAAGAGTCATGTTACACAGATGTGGATATCTCTCATAACAGAATACCAGTCCTCTTATGAAACATGAAAATTCTCAAGATTAGCAAAAACAAAGTGTTAATTTTTATGTGCATGGTCATTTAAGCAGTCATTTTCCTCAGTATTAATGTACATACTTGGTGCTTATTCTGTAGCGCCAGTGTACAATAAAGTCATTTCCAAACAGTTTACCAGTAAAGATTCTACAATAGATTTTATTTTCCAAAAACTTTAAAATCAAGAACTAGTAGTTTTTCCATGAAATACCAAATTTAAGCACTCTAAATGTCTGGGCGATTTAACACTCAGAATGTCCTACTTCTTTAATTATTCTGTGTTTTCCTACAGCAGCCAGCATCTACTTCCAGTTAAGACAACTCAAGAAGGCTGAAAGGGGTGGGGGGTGCAAGAACTGACTAAAGGTTTCTGAAAATATTACCTGCTGGTTAATTAAAGTATCTCTGCAGCAAAATTTTTAGTATTTGCACAGTGATATTAAAACACCACCTAAACCCAATTGACTACTCTCCTTGTCTGTCCAAACACTGTGTTGCTACACAGTGGATACACAGCTTCCCTCTGTTTTACTGCAATTCTTAGGTAGTCACACCTTAATGTTTTCTGGGCAGGCACCAAGTCATATGACTGACACTACATTGTTTCTGCCTTCTTTCCAGAAGGGGGAAAAGAAAAAAATTATGGAAAATTAACTTATTTACCAATCTGAAGATGAGGACTTTTTTTGCAGATTAGAAGATAAAGACCACCTCTCCCTAGAAAAGCTACATCTCCTTGTCAGGCAAGTTCTCCCAAAAACAGGGTAAATTTTTTTGAGTAATAGATTTTTTTACATGCTCATAGAGGGCTCAGCTAAGTCCTAGTCTAGAATTAGGGATCCTCAATGGCAAAGTGCTACCTAAAGCAGTGTAGAAACAGAGGGGTTAACTGCATCCCTGGAGCTTTAGGAAATCATTAAGGTTGTGCAATGGCTCAAGTTCTTTAAAGACAGCAGCTGTAGTCATTATTGTTTTACTGTGCCTCTAATCATTCCAATATAGAAGGGGGGGAGCAGGGAGGGGGGCGGGTCAGTGGGGTTTTTTGGGTTTGCTTTGGTTTGATTTTGGGTGGGTTTTTTGTTACCTGTGATGTTACAAAATTAGTTTTCGACCTATACTTACATGGAAGAAAAAGGTTCATGCTCTTGATTAGCTACTATGCTGTCTATTAGGTAGGCAAATACAAGAGATGAGAACACTGGTTTCTTTTAATAGATTAATGATCTCTTGAGGCACAGCAGAGCAGAAGACCAGAACTGCTGTTAAGTGTCACAGAATAAATCTTCCACATAGGGGTTAAGATCAAGTTCCCTTCACAGTACTTCAGTGGGGCCTCTACAAAGTAACACTTGAGTCACAGGAACCACTTCCCACGCTATGCTGAACTATTTGGCTTCAGACCTGGGAGGGAGATGCACACCCCTTTCTCCAGGAATCTCTTTCGTATCAGCCTATCACTAAGGGAAACGTATCACATTGTATATGCACAAGGCCTCACCAATGACAACTTATATTGACTGAAAGGCCACATTCCATGATATAATAAGCTGCAAAGTGAACAGATACTGAACAGCCCAACACCACTTGATTTCATGTTAGTGTTGGTTTAAGCACATTTTCCACACCCCTCTTCCAAGCTCTTTTATGAACATAGGGACATGACTGTTTCTAGTGGCATTCATAACGTGAGCGACCACAGCAAAGTGGGTAATACACACCATGTAAAACTGCAGACGATAATGTTTCTTCACTAAACTCAAAACAAACATGCAGAAGCCTGTAAAACAAAGCAAGTGTAGTTTGTACCATCTTATATTTAATTACACTGAACTGTGATATACCAGTAATTCTCTTCCCTTGAAACAGCTGTTAATCCCTCTGCTGCTAGGAGCGTTTGCTTGTATTCAGTTAAGTGTACATATAGAATTATTCCCATTAGAGTACAAGATTTCGTTAACATCAGTAAAGAGCACGCATTTCATTACTTACAAGGTCCCATCATAGACATCAATTTTTAGGGGAGGAGACCATCACCTTCAAAAACCACTCAAAAACCAGGTCGACAAGCTGGTTTTGAATAATTAACAGAAACAATTGAAAGGAAAATACCAGCTTTTCTCTTTCCCCAGACAGGCATAGGGAGGGCTGCATGCAACGTAAGCATGAAGTGCAGGCATTGGAGAATTCAGCTGACTGAAAGAAATGTTCTGGCTGGCTAACAGAGCACCACTTCTCCCCTAGGGCGACTTAACCCTGGGGACAGCCCCTAAGTGATGCCACCATCCCAATGCAGCAGCTGCCAAGGGACCCTGCTATGCTCTGCCTCCTGCTTTTGCTCATGACTGGCTTGTCTCATGTCTCCCCTCACCGCCCTTCAGCAGTCACGAGGCATTAGTTAAGTTAGTTTCCTCAAGCCAAAGCCAGCTGAAAAAGGTCGTGTTGCAAAGCTGGTTTCAAGTTTGTGATGTAAGCACCGAGTAGAATTTTTACCTGGTTTAAAAAAAAAATTAACAGTAGACAGACTGACAGTTCTTCATGAAGATCAGGTTTCTCAATATATTTTACAAGTATTTGTAGCACAGCAGTCTCCTGTCCCTTAGGCCAATATGAGTTTTCAATTGATTTAATTTCAGGCTAAAATAGTATTAACTGCGTTGCTGAAAACAACGTGGACTGTATTTACATGTTCACAAAGAAATACCCCACAAGACTGCCAGCTTATGTCTCTTCTTCCTAGAGGAGAGGCTCTTAAAAAGTCTTTCTTTGGATAGGGAGGAAAATGTATCCATGAGGCAAGCGTTTGAATATCTTGTAGACAAAATAAAGCCTCACACATTTTGAATAATCAGTTTAAAATATATTGGTAAATCTTATTGCTGTAGACCTAGCAGAACACTTGCACAATAAAGCATCAACCCAGCACAGCAATTACACATATAAGTCATCTCCACAGACTGCCAAAATAGCATTCACGTATTCAGGTGCTGAGCCCCAGTTCTTCAGCGATCAAAATTAATTCATGCCAACTTCTCTTGAGCACTATTACTTCAACTTTCTCAAGATCATCTACTTGTTTAGGCTGCTTTCTTCTTCTCAGTGAACGCAAAATTTGTATTCATCTTTTCACAGGAAAAATGGAACTGTGAACACCTAATTTCCTCGAACATCAAGAGGAAAAAGAAACTGAAAATACATAAAGCTGGTGAGCAATTATTTAGAAAAAAAAAAAGCACAGAAACAAATGCAGCACAAAGTTCTTTCATTCTTGCAATTTCCTATGCTTACCTGTTAAATAGAGTGCAAAAGATATAAATCTGTGGTAACGAATTAGGAATTGAAGCTGTTCTCGTCTCTGAACAAATGTAGCAAAGTAATCAGCTACAGTCTCTCCATAAAAGAAGTAGTTCACACACAGCAAAAAGTACCTACAACATACAACAGCTAGCAGTTATTTTAACAGGATAATATATATTTAAGTGTCATTCTTAAAGACAAAACAAACAAAAACACAACAAAAAACACCACACAAAAGGAAACCCAGAAAGGTAGAAAAGACACATGATAAAAATAAAATTCAAGTATAAATCCAGTCTTATAGTTCTCCTCTGACAAGCCAATTTTTGTAATTTACTTCTAAAGCAACTGCACTAGAAAAACAAACACATTTTGCAGGATACAGTTGGAAAATTAATTTCATCTTTATCTACAGTACTGAATACTCCTATGCAAGTCCTTTTCAGATATTCTAAAAGTACAGAACAAGTACCTACTATCATCGATAATGACACAAGCAATTCTGCATATTCTTTTCCTGTATCCTAATAAGGGTAGTTTGTGATTTCTGCCTTGCAAACAGGAAAAAAGGTACTTGCATAACAAATCCTCTGAGGTTATAGGACAGTGAATCTGACATGGGGGTTGAGGATCTAAATCGAACTATACTTTTGCTATCTGGCCTGAAGATTCTCTCTGAAAGAGTTACTGCTGCATCTCCTGCTCAGCTCCACCACGCACTTTGCCTTTTAGCTTTCTTGACCAAGCAATAATCTTACAGGCTTAAATCCATCAACTAACTAGTAAATGCAGCTATTACTACAACTTTTTCGAAACATTTTTGTGGGAGTATGTCCACACCCAAGCTGCAACTGAGATGAAATGTCACGTTCAGCCATCTCTTTTTGAAGGATCTTCAAAGAAATTCCTTTCAGTCAAAACAGTCAGTACACAAGTAATTCTGTCACAGGTTTTCATACAAGCTCAGTTACTCAGCTTTCTGGAGTAAAGTCACAACGGGATCCTCAAATGCCAAGGCAGCACTCAATAAAAACCAATAAATAGCAAATCCCAAACCACTAAGAGATGCACCTCTCTAGGCAACATACTCTTTGGCTTATTACCAAAGTCAGCCACAGAAGATAAAAACTTGTGATTCAAGACTGGATCTCCAGATAGTCTCAGAGCAATTAGTACTCATTCTCTTCCCCCCAGTAGATGTTAATGCTCACTTTGCAAGGCTTCACATCTCTAAATAAGCAAAATAGTTGATCTTCCAAATACTAATAGGATTCCCTCATCTCACTGAAATGTCTTAATATTTAGTCTCAGCAGCAAGATGTTGGACTGAAAGGAGCTTTGATGTTAACTAGTGTGGCAATGCAGAGGAGTTGATTTTGAGCTGCACATACAAAAGTGACAGTGGTCAACTGCCAAAGTAGACTAAGTGGTAAAGTGCACATCTTCTCCTCTAAAAATTTTGGCAAGACTGCAGAATCATTCATGTATGAGTCTGCTCTAGCTGTAGATCCAGAAGCCATGGAATAAAGCAGATAATAAATCAGTCCCCTGGATAATCCAGGAGTGACCAGAAGGGAACTGATTAGCATTTACAGAAGAGCCGACAACAGGAATCCACTGCATCACACAGTAAAGTTGCTTCTAGAAGTGAAGAAGCAATGTGACAAGAGACAGGGAATAACCTAGATATTTCAATTCCTTAAAAACCCAAACCCAACAGAAAACCAAACCCACACAACATAGGTCATGTCTGAAGAATTATGTCCTTAAGCACCTTAGAGACAACATGTGCCCAACACCTTCCCATAATGCTGACTTTAATCAAAAGCCTTTATCTTGCCTCCCAGAATTCAGGAGAAGAGTTGATTTCCCCAGTTCTATCCAGCCCTATATAAGCTGGACGTTGTCACAAGTATCTGGGATTTGCCAGAAAAATTAATCTCGTCTTTTGGCTTTCAGAAGATCCCTTAACACTATATTTATGCAGTCCAGTGATTAAGTACATGACTGGAAAGGATTTAAAACTTGTATGTTATTATTTTAATTCTTTGTGTGTGAAAAGGAGCCTTTAAGGTACCTGTTCTATTTATTTCTTGTGCAAGGTTAACAGACACACCAAAAAAAAAAAAAAAATAAAAAAAATCAAAGCAGTTCAGGATTACATATCAGGTCATTATTTGGCTATGCACATTTTTAGATAGCTTACACATGCTCAATTCTGATTTAAAACATCTATGCATACATACATACACATGTACGTATATACATATTTATAACAAGGAAAAAAATTGTAGCAGTAAAAGGCTGACTGACTTGTCTAAATTCACAGGTGGAAGACAACTACAGAATCCTGTATTAGAGACAGATGTCAAGTTTTATGTCTGCACATGACCTACAAAGCTATCATTCCACCATGACGGGATATGAAGAACATGAAGACTTAAGTTTCACATCCCTACTTATTGACATTCTTGCTTGTTACTCACCAGCTGAGGGATCTAAACCATGGTAAATCATATGAGTGGTAGACTCTGTAACCTATAGTAATGATTTCATGGTAACACTTCACTTGGATGCTTAAGACCTAAAATAAGAGAAATAAAAAACTATGTAAATATGCTGCAGTTGTTTCTTAAAGGCAGTAAGTAGTACTGCAACCTGCATTAAGGGGAGAAATTATTCTGAATTCAAATTCCACACAAAACAGACAGCTTCAAAGCAAGTCCAAGGAAAACTAAAGCTCCATTTATACCCCTGCAAAACCACTAGGCATGCTGAGAAAAAACACATTGGGCTTGTGTCCTGGTTTTGGCTGGGATAGAGTTAATTTTCTTCCTAGTAGCTGGTATAGTGCTGTGTTTTGGATATAGGATGAGAATAACATTGATAACACAAGGACGTTTTAGTTGTTGCTGAGCAGGGCTCACACTAAGTCAAGGACTTTACAACTTCTCATACTGCCCTGCCAGCAAGGAGGCTGGAGGTGCACAAGAAGCTGGGAGGGGACACAGACAGGGCAGCTGACCCAAACTGGCCAAAGGGATATTCCATACCATATGACATCATGCTGAACAAAAAAAGCTGGGGGGAGTTGGCCGGGGGGGGCACGGCTGCTGCTCGTGAACTGGCTGGGCATCGGTCAGCGAATGGTGAGCAGTTGTATTGTGCATCACTTGTTTTGCGTGCTCTTCTATCATTATTTTTTTTTCCTTCCTTTTCTGTCCTATTAAATTGTCTTTATCTCAACACAAGAGTTTTACCTTTTTTCCAATTCTCTCCCCCATCTCACTGAGGCGGCGGGGAGACGAGTGAGCGAACGGCTGTGTGGTGTTTAGATGCCTGCCAGGCTAAACCACAACAGCTAGCTGCAAGAATACGCTCATGAAACAAGGGAAAGCTCCTGACTTTTCATTAAAACAGTTTGGCAGCAGCAGGTCAAAAATACTTCTTGTAAAGAAGGCTCTTCTATTTCTTTTGGTTAAGTTTTATCTTTTAATTTAGTTTAAGAAATATTTTCTAGGCCCAATGGAAAAAACTAGCTGTGCAATACAACTTGGACACCCAGGTCTTCTACTTGCAAGTGTCTCATTAAGGGCAATTAGCATTGATGATTAGAAGCAAAGCTCGTCTAACCCAGGTCTGAACATCACACCCTCCATGGCCTTTATTTTGTTTTGCTAATCTCACTACTTCAGTGCTTGCCCATGCAAGTCTGGTAGCAGTCAGTCTTTGGGCTCCAAAGGACTTTCTGCCAGTTTTGTCTAATCCACAGTCACCAAGCAGATTGCCCTGCCCAGATATCAAGTATTGCCAAACACAGGTCATCAGTAATCCCATGCAGAGGCAGGAGTAAGAACCTACCCATGCTGACTGCGCATGTCAGTGTGCTAGGCTTTGCAGTATTCTTTTACCACCTGCATTCATGAATAAATTTCATCTTGCTCAACGTGCGAACACAGTTTAAAACAGCCTTACACCACCTCAGTGAGTTTATTTTGAAGCTCCCCTATCTTGTGCTCTTTCTTCTGCTTGGCCTATGTTATAAAACTTAAATGCTATATGCAAAAGCAACATGAAAGGATTGCACCTTACAGTGGAAAAGGACATCGGGGTCCAAAGGCATGGAAGCTTGTGCCTGTTACCTTAGTAGCAGGCAAACATAAAACTTGCCTCCCAACTTTTTAGAGCAGGCTCAGGGCTTGTCCTCCAAACTACACTGGATTACCCTTCCTACAAGTCTCTGTGCATTTTCAGTCTCAGTATTAAGATTTGGTTTTAGCACAAGTCTTGTTTAGATGTAAGCTATTTGATTCCAGTGAAATGAAATAATTCACGAACAAACCTGTTTTTTCCCTCCATTCTTCTTTTTACGTAGTCTGAAATGTCAACTTTATAGAATCATAGAATCATAGAATGCTTTGGGTTGGAAGGGACCTTCACAGATCATCGAGCCCAACCCCCCTGCAGTAAGCAGGGATTGAACCTGTGAACTTGGCGTTATTAGCACCGTGTTCTAACCAACTGAGCTAACCCGGCTATGAACAGTTTATTACATTAGAAGATAGAGGTTTTGCTTTATGGTACAACAGAGGAAGAACTCTATTCCAATTCTGTACTAACTTTAATTACTTTTTGGTTCATCTCTTGATAGCTTTGCCCATGACTGCAATCTCAGAGTATACTATGAATATACTGAATCACACTGCAAATTGATTAGTTCCTTTTTGTTTGTTATCATCATTCTCAAGTGTAACAGACTACTAAAGGAAGGATTGCAAAGAAACAAATCTCTCTACAATGACCTACACTTTAAAGGGGCTTTTTTTGTTGTTTTCTTCACACACACAAAAAGAAAATCCTCCACTAATGAAAAAATGAATTACTAGTTTGTTATGTCCTTCACCTGAAAACAGGAAACATAAACCAGACTAATTCAGATGTAGACACTGTAATGCAGACCATTAATACTGGTGAAACAGCATTCCAGTCTCTTGAGACAGTACAGAGGAAAAAAAGGGAGTTTATGACCTTTGGAAAAAGGGGCAGGCAACTCAGGAGGACTACAACAATGTCGTGAGGTTATGCAGGGAGAAAATTAGAAGGGCCAAAGTCCAACTAGAACTTAATCTGGCTACTGCCATAAAAGACAATAAAAAATGTTTCTGTAAATACATTAGCAACAAAAGGAGGGCTAAGGAGAATCTCCATTCTTTACTGGATGTGGGGGGAAACATAGTGACAAAGGATGAGGAAAAGGCTGAGGTACTTAATGCCTTCCTTGCACCAGTCTTTAATAGTCAGACCAGTTGTTCTTGGGGTACCCAGCACCCTGAGCTGAAAGACAGGGCTGGGGAACGGAATGAAGCCCCCATAATCCACAGGGAAATGGCTAGCGACCTGCTACACCACTTAGACACACACAAGTCTATGGGGCCAGATGGGATCCACCCAAGGGTACTGAGGAAGCTGGTGGAAGAGCTCACCAAGCCACTTTCAATCCTTTATCAGCAGTCCTGGCTAACTGGGGAGATCCCAGTTGACTGGAGGTTAGCAAATGTGACGCTCATCTACAAGAAGGACTGGAAGGAGGATCTGGGAAACTACAGGCCTGTCAGTCTGACCTTGGTGCTGGGGAAGGTTATGGAGCAGATCATCTTGAGTGCCATCACGTGGCATAGAATCATAGAATCATAGAATGCTTTGGGTTGGAAGGGACCTTTAGAGGTCATCTAGCCCAACCCCCCTGCCGTTAGCAGGGACAGCTTTAACCAGATCAGGTGGCTCAGAGCCCCAGCCAACCTGACCTTGAATGTTGCCAGGGATGGGGCTTCCATTACCTCTCTGGGCAACCTGTTCCAGTGCTTCACCACCCTCATTGTAAAAAACTTCTTTCTTATGTCTAGTCTATGTATGCATGTACAGGACAAGCAGGTGATCAGGCCAAGTCAGCACGGGTTTATGAAAGGCAGGTCCTGCTTGACTAACCTGATCTCCTTCTATGACAAGGAAACCTGCTTAGTGGATGAGGGAAAGGCTGTGGATGTTGGTTACCTAGACTTTAGTAAAGCCTTTGACACCGTTTCCCACAGCATTCTCCTGGAGAAACTGGCTGCTCAATGGCTTGGATGGGCATACTCTTCGCTGGGTAAAAATCTGGCTGGATGACCAGGCCCAAAGAGTTATAGTGAATGGAGTTAAAATCAGTTGGCAGCTTGTCACAAGTGGTGTTCCCCAGGGCTCAGGACTGGGGCTAGTTCTGTTTAATATCTTTATCAATGATCTGGATGAGGGGATCAAGTGCACCCTCAGTAAGTTTGCAGATGACACCAAGCTGGGCAGTGTTGAGCTGCCTGAGGGTAGAAAGGCTCTACAGAAGGATCTGGACAGGCTGGATTGATGGGCCGAGGCCAATTGTATGAGGTTCAACAAGACCAAGTACCAGGTCCTGCACTTGGGTCACAACAACCCCATGCAGTGCTACAGGCTTGGAAAGCTGCCCAGCGGAAAAGGACATGGGATTGTTTGTCAAGGAGATGGATGAATATGAGCCAGCAGTGTGCCCAGGTGGCCAAGGAGGCCAACAGCATCCTGGCTTGTATCAGACATAGCGTGGCCAGCAGGACTAGGGAGGTCATTGTCCCCCTGTACTCAGCACTGGTGAGGCCACACCTCAAATACTGTGCTCAGTTTTGGGCCCCTCACTATAAGACAGACATTGAGGTGCTGGAGCATGTCCAAAGAAGAGCAACAAAGCTGGTGAAGGGTCTAGAGCACAAGTCTTATGAGGAGCAGCTGAGGAAACTGGGGTTGTTTAGTCTGGAGAATAGGAGGCTCAGGGGAGACCTTAATGCTCTCTACAACTGCCTGAAAGGAGGTTGTATCAAGGTGGGTGTTGGTCTCTCCTCCCAAGTAACAAGTGATAGGACAAGAGGAAATGGCTTCAAGTTGCACCAGGGGAGGTTTAGATTGGACATTAGGAAAAATTTCTTCACTGAAAGGGTTATCAAGCATGGGAACAGGCTGCCCGGGGAAGTGGTTGAGTGCCCATCCCTGGAGGTATTTAAAAGACGTGTAGACGTGGTGCTTGGAGACATGGTTTAGTGGTGGATTTGGCAGTGCTAGGTTTACAGCTAGACTCGATGATCTTAAGGGTCTTTTCCAACCTAAATGACTCTTCGAATACAATCCAAAAGGTGTTTCACAGGAGGCCATGAAAAAAGTAAAAGCACATTTTGACAGTTAAACAAACTTAGAGTAAAAAAATCAAAGCAGTTAGCCAGAAGTACCAATATCAGTGTTTTAGAAGCCACATCCCTGCCTGTTACTTGCCACGACTGGGAACGATAGTTAAACCATTATTCAATAAAAATACCAACAATAAAAATGACAGAAAGAAGCAGTAAAGGTTGATCAGGTATGCAGGGTGTATGAATATTATTATTATTACTATTATTATTTAACTTCATGACCTAAAAACACACTTATCTCTGTACCTTGGAAAGGGATCTAGCTCCATTCTACAGATAAACCTGAGGCCACAAGGCCACCCCGTAGAGAAGTAGGGAATTAATGGAGCGTGCCTGAGGAAAGCCTTTCAGTGCCAGTCACAAACAGCAGACCAGAGCTGCCTGCTTTCCTCAGCCTCAAAAATGGAACTCTTGTGTCTTTGGTTTTTTGTTTTTGGGGTTTTAGTTGGGTTTTTTTGGTGGTGGTGAGGTGGTTTGTGGTTGTTTTTTTTTTTTTAAAACAAGCCTCAAAGGATGTAACAATAGGTGATGGGAACTGGACAAGGAAATGGATGACAGTAGTTTAGTAAACTTCAAGGCAACAATCGTTCAACTTCTTAGAGTTACTTTAATTCCTACTTAAAAAAAAATAATTATGGTAGACAAGAAGTCCTTAATCCACAAGGCCCAGTTGTGAATCTATCGAGTATTTTTCGAAAGTATTTACATTTACACAAATAAAATGCTCTGAATTGTCTGTGCAGTTTGCTTCCAAACTGTGTCTTAGGCACGATGAACGAAGAGATCATGTAACTCTTGCATGGTAGAATGTACTTAAACAAACTTACCAGAAGCATCAGCATAAATGATCCCAGGTATATGATCAGAAAAAACACAGAAATCATAGCTAGAGTGAGAATTCCACGAATCCACCAATTTTTCCATCTATTTAAAAAAAGGAGAATAAAAAGCAAGCAGTTATAAATGAAAATAAATGCCACTTCTTTACTAACTAGAGATTAAAATGTATTAGAAACAGTGGGAGTTCCAGAAATTTTCGTGCTTAATAAAACACAGAGCAAGAAACACAGAATCAACCAACTATCCAACTAAACAGGATACACAGTAAAAGAAATTAAAGTTAGCCACCTTTCTTCTTCCCCCATGCTCCCCCCCACAAACGTCATTTGCAATTAAATGCATCGATCATAGAATCATAGAATTGTTTAGGTTGGAAAAGATCTTTAAGATCATTGAGTCCAACCATTAACATAACACTGCCAAATCCACCACTAAATCATGTCCCAAAGTGCCACATCTACATGTCTATTAAATATCTCCAGGGATGGGGACTCAACCACTTCCCTGGACAGCCTCTTCCAATGTTTGACAACACTTTCAGTGAAGAAATTTTTCCTAATGTCCAATCTAAACCT